CCATTGCATCAGATGCTCAGAGCAACCCAGCTCTGACACCAGTTAGTAACCAACAAGCAAGGGCATACAATAAGAGGCATTCATTCAAGTACATAGGGCCTAGTTTATAAAGGGATCTATACAGTAACGTCTGATCCTGTGATGTACTGAGCACTTTCATGTCCCACTGAATTGAGGGCTCTTTCCACCATGCACAAGGGGGCCCTTAAACTGTATTGCATGGTGTACTGGCAGCCAGTGTAGATGGCAGAAGGAAGTGTGTAAGCCAGCCAACTCCTATTATAAAGAACAAGGCAGAAGCTGCATTCCACATTGGAGCCTTTGCATCAGCTTCAAAGGAGGCCTAATGAGAAGCACACAACAGTGGCTTTATCTGGATAAGGCATAATGGATGACCATGGTGAGCAAAACAGGGAGAGTCTCCAGCTAAGGCAGAGAGGGCAATCGCACATCTTGATCCTTTTCCTGACATGGGCCTGCGAGCAAAAAGAGCAGGTAAGGTTTCCCCCCCACCAAGCGCTAATGGCATTTTCTACTCCTTAACTAAACAGTCATGCACAAACTGGCAACAAGCTCTTCAGAACACTTCCCCTTTTCCACAAACATGACTTCACTCCTGCCTGGTTGAGCTTTACCCACCTGAGTGTCATCTAAATAAAAGTGAAGGAATTTCTAAATACTCTGCATGCCCGTTTGATAAAGTGCAGTTTTGATAGTGAATGTTTTGTAAGCCCTGATGTAATCAAGGGTCAAGTACACAGGATTAGATTCTCTCCTCGGTATCTGTGTGTAACTCTTATTGGCATTCAACAAGACAAAACAATCGTGCATTGATGGTAATTGTGTGAAGCGAAAGTGATGATTTAAAATAGCACAATAGACCTGGGAAATGAGTCCTTATAGAAAACAATATAGTCAACACCAGGTGCTCAGAGCCAGTGTTTTAGGTTTGATATGTCAGGAAGCAGTTAAAATTCAGCCAGCAGAAAAGACAGAAACTGCTGAGAATCAAGGACATAGTTTCTGTCAATACATGATAACTTAGTTCAGCTTATCAGTAAGAAAGAACAAAGCTTGTGCCCATGGAAAGAAACAGTTCAGCGAGGAAAACAGGATCGGGCCCAGACAAGCAAGCAGGAATATTTCAGTAGCACAAACGGCACTGACAATTGTAAACAATTGATAAGCTTATATGGTCAATGCCCGCCCAGTAACTTAGTTCTTAGAACAAAATAAACCTTCCCTTCACAGCCCACTGGATATCTGTAAGCACTCATCCCCACCCCACCTCACCTCACCTCTTTCCCCCACAAGGTAGTCATAAATGTTGGATGCAATTAGGATGACCTCTATATGTATGTAATGTTCTTATTTTTATCTTTGTTCAGGGTTCTCTCTTGACTTGTAACTATGTCTGTCTCTATATGTACAAATAAATGCAAGTGAATTAATAAGAAAATTTATATAACTGGCCATGGTGGCATCATATTTTTGAAGCTGCTTGGCAGTCTTCTCAGTAAGGTAAATAAAGCCCACTTCAGTATTATCTGTGCTTGCCTGATTCTTGGAAAAAAGAATCTTCTTGCCTAACAGATATAAGAACAGAATACAACAGTTTCATTAAAGAATTCACTACTAGATAATTGATCATGATGGACATTCTGCATCTCAGCTTGAAATCTAGAAATGCAATACTGATACCAAGATGAATTGTTGTACATCATGATGGTCTAAATCTGCATAGCTCTATTGCCTTCCTCGAAACTACACTGATTTACACCAGCTTAGGATCTGGCTTGCTTCAAAGAAAAGGACGCTATTACTAACAGCATGGTAATAAAGTTAGATGTAGTCACTTGTAATACTTCAAAATACTATTATAATAACAAAAGCTCCTGAAAATGTTTGAAAATGAGCTGTTAGTGTTACAGAGTAATCCAGTCCCATCAAGAAAAAAAATCTTAGCTTCCAGTGGGACTGTTACAATGACTTGGAGCAAATGTAACTGATCAACTGGGTGTTGAAAGGTTGTATTCATTTTAAAAGATTAAATGAACATAAAGCCACTGGTGCAGCAGCAGACTCATTAGCCCACATTTACTACAGGAATTTCTGTTGTAACAGCAGTTTGGATTTCCACAGAAATACAGCAGGATTTTAAAGATCTGATTTCAGAGATGCTCAAAAATCTGAAATTGAAATTAGTGGTTCAGAATCCCTGAAAATCAGACTTTTAATGTACTTAGTGTAAAATAATAATAATAGTAATAATAATCCTCTTTTGCAAGACATGCATCCTCCCACAGGCAGAATCCTCCACACAGTTCAGCTTTGGAAAGTACATGAAAAGACACTGAGTTATCGCACTTCCATTCTGATGCACTTTCTCTTTTTATTGTTGTTATTTATGATGAGGCAAATGCAGCCCAACATCTCTGCTGACATGGAGTTTCCCTGGCAGTGGAACTAGTGTGGTTCCCCTCTGGGGACAGGGTGAGACTAGAATTATAAGATGCCCAGCTCCAGGAGGGCACCATAAACAACAGTGGAAAGGAGGCACATGGGCTGGAGAAGGAGTGAGAACCTGAAGCTGCATGGCTCCTTACCTTGCGATGGGGTACACTGGTGTCACAGGGGGCCTTGGGGCTGACATAGCACTTCCCGCAGCTCCCATTGGCTGGGAACGGCGAACCGCAACCACAGGGAGCTGAGGGACTCCATGCCTGCAGACACTTCAAGTAAACAAAACGTCCCAACCCACCAGCGGCTTATCCTGACAGGCCAGGAGCCAAAGTTTTCCAACCCCTAAAATATAGGGTCAGCTTATGAAAGGGTCATACAGTTTTTGCTATTTTTACCTATCCATTTTGGGGGGTCAGCTTATAAACGAACGGGCTAATGAACGAGTATATACGGTATACACTTCCAGCATCCAGGAATCCCTCAGTGGAGGAGAAGCCAGTCGCCATGTTTATGTGATGGCTTTCATCTTCAACTGCAATGCAGAATAGGCAAACAGAGCTCTAGTAACTGGGCTTTATGAAGACTGCAAGAATCTCACCTTCTGTGAGCAGTATAAGGTTATATAATTTCAAAGGTACATGAATTGAACTAAACCAGGGGTCGGCAACCTATGGCACACGTGCCAAAGACGGCACGTGAGCCGATTTTTAATGGCACACTGCTGCCTGCTGGGGTCCCGGCCGCCGGCAGCGGGCTGAGTGGGGCCGGCGGCCAGGACCCCGGCAGGTAGCAGCGTGCCATTAAAAATCCTTCCCAGCCCGGCCCGCTCTTCTCCCCCCCTCCTGCCAGCATTTGCACATGCTTTCCTGACCTCCGTCACTTCCGGCAGGAGTTTGTGTTTCCGGGTTAGCGTGTCCATACTGCTACTTCGTGTCCGCAGAGTCTGAGCGGCCCCAGAAGCGGCCCCGCCGGCAGGGGCAGGAAGAGGGACCTGGCCCCACAGGAGTTGCAGCGCCCGCGAGGCCTGTAAGTGGGGAAGGGTCCTGGGTCCCAGCTGAGTTGTGCACCTGCCCCGAGCACGGCCAGCCCCACTCCCTGGACTCAGGCAGGCTGCCCCGGGGTTGGAGCCCCGGTGCTGCGATGAGCTCGGCTCTGTACTGGGGCAGGCCGCGTCCCATAGCCCGAACCCGAGCCTGGGGACTGTGGCTCGCCGCTTGCTGGACCCTGGGAGCAGCTGGGTCGCGCCTCTTTCCCCACCCCACTCCCCTCCGGCACTGAGGGCAGAACCCAGGAGTCCAGAGCCCTAGTCTCCGTCTGCTCCCCACCCCACCCCTCGAACAACTAGAGCCCAGCTAGAAACCTAGGAAACCAGAGTTCTCGCTCCCAGCACTCCTCCCCTGAGCGTCAGACACCAGCCCCTTCCCAGAGCCCAGGAGTCCCAACTCCCACACCGCTCCCCATCCTACCCCCCCCACACTCCCCCAAGCCCCTGCCCTGATCCCTGCACTCCTCACATCACCCAGCCCTCTGCCCTGACCCCTGCACCCCCCTCACACACACCCAGCCCCCTGCCCTGATCTGACCCCTGCACCCCCCTTCACACACCCAGCCCTCTGCCCTGACCCCTGCACCCCCCTCACACACACCTAGCCTTCTGCCCTGACCCCTGCACTCCCCATGACCCCAGCCCTGACTCCAGCACCCCCACACATACCCAGCCCCCCCACACCCCATGCCCTGACTCTTGCACCCCCCACATCCCCACCCCAACCCTGAGCACCAAATGGGAGCTCCTGCACACACCTCCCCACATGCACCCCTTGCACCAAATGGGAGCTGCCCAGGTAAGCGCTCCACACCCAAACCTCCTGCCCCAACCCTGAGCCCCCTCCTTCATTCTAGCTCCTTGCCAGATTCTACACCCCAACCCCCAGCCTGGTCCTTCACTCCCAGCCCTGTGCTCAGTGCACTCCCACCCTCAGCTCAGTGCAGAGAGAGAGGAAGAGAATGGGCTCGAACCAGGGAGAAGGTAGGTACCCACTCTATGTGGGCAGGGCCAGGACCCCAGACCGGCAGCGGGCTGAGCGGTAGCAGGCTGAGACACTGAGCCCACTGCTGGTCTGGGATCCCGGCCACTGGCCCCGCTCAGCCCGCTGCCAGCCCTGGGGTCTGGCTGCCGGCCCCTTGCCAGCCGGGGTCCCAGCCGCTGATCCCACTCCCTGTGGCGTAAGATCAGCATTTTAATTTAATTTGAAATGAATCTTCTTAAACATTTTGAAAACCTTATTTACTTTACATACGACAATAGTTTAGTTATATAATATAGACAGAGAGAGACCTTCTAAAAAACTTTAAAATGTATAATTGGCATGTGAAACCTTAAATTAGAGTGAATAAATGAAGACTCTGCACACCATTTCTGAAAGGTTGCCGACCCCTGAACTAAGAAAAGTTTTTCCATAAAGAAAATCTTTCATTAGCCCATTTTTATGGATGACTACTTGGGCAAGTTACAGATGCCGTCATTTTCTAAGCTGGTATTTAGCTGTTAAATGAAGTGAGAAGCATTCAGCAGCTTTTCTCTTACTTTCTCTTCTTTTGCCACTGAAGGGGTCACACGCAGTAATTAAGAGTAGCACCTCATGGACAGTGGAGGAGGAGAATCAAGATTGAAACGCTCAAGAAATGTTCTGTGCTAGGGCAGGGGAGAGGAATTAGTCTCCAAGTAGTTTTAAAAACATCTATGTGTTTGTACAAAATTCAGTGGACCCAGTTGTCTCCTTCAGTAGAAAAACTCACAGGAGGGAAAAGAGAAAAACAGTACCTTCCAAAACAGCATGAGGACCTCGCTGCTGTGGGGTCACCAGTTCCTCCAGGATTCAAACTGCTGTAGGCCTCAGTTGCTAGACATGAGAGTCCTCTGTCTTGGTAAAGTATACAGCTCACTGGCTAATGTGTAATGTTGCTCTCTATGCTCAATCATGTGCTATTGGCTTGAGAGCCTGGCTCTTTAGCTCATGCTATGGTGACAGAGGCTTTCAGCTCTGGAGGTCACCAGTTCAACCACTAGTGCATCAGCCAGGATGGTAGACATCACATATGTACCCCCCCCCAACATGTTCCCACACAGGGTGTATACACCCTTGGCCATATCCCAAAACATACAATTTGAAGTGCTGGGCAGTACTAGCTGCTACCACATCTTTCTGCATTCAACAGAGTGGTTGTGGCTGCCAGCTGAGCAGAGGAGCTTGTGGGGAATGGTTCTTGAGTCTTTTCCTCTCCTCAGAGCAGTAGCCACAATTTGGCCCACTAGTTGTAAAGTGGAAATTGGCAAAACTGGTTGTAAAATATGTTTTGTTTCCAAGCTTCTGAAAGTGTATAACAGCAATGAACCCAAGAAATATAACTGGCAATTTATTAACCGTATCTCTTTCTTTCCCTTGTGTGCCTATCTATCCAGCCATCCATTTCTAAGACTCTTATAAACTATGGGACGAAGGCCCAGATTTTTACAATTATTTAGTGGCTGCAATGCTCAACTGACTTAGAAACCTACATTTCTTTTTGAAAAGACCTAAGCCTAAATACCTTTACAAATCTGGGCCTGAGCACCAAAAGTTATAGCTAAGTTACAAAATCAAAAAACCCCAAAGCACAAAACTTCATTTCCTCTTCAGTGCAGGAAAACTGAGGAAAAAATAACATTAAATCATTCTTTCTACTGGAAAGTTACACAGAATAATCACCAACCTGTGCTCCTACCTTTACCCTGAAGGTGAGTTCTGTAATACATCAAATGCTTAACGGAGTTTTCTCCATCTCTATAGCAACATGAATTCATCAAAGAGTCAATTAACAATGATTTTCTTCTGTCTAGGTTTTGCCTCTATCATAACAAAGATATTTTTAAAATCTACAGTCCTGGAGAAGATGTGAAATATCTGAAAGTATGTTTGGGAAGGATCGTAGGGAGGAGGGGGAAAGAGTCAATCTTAAAATGGCTATTCAGTACCCACTGTGCTTCACAAAAGAGCCTTAGTTCTGGCCACAAAGCAGAAGAAATGTCCCTTTGGCAAAGGGATGTTGTACTCAAATAACAGATGCCTAATTATTATCATTATTATGCTGCTGCTATATACAGCACTGTATGCAGGGTTAGATATTCTTGACCTCTCCTGGGAAACTCACAAACTAAGTCACATCAATAGAAATGAAAATACAACCTTTGGGGTCTACCAGTGGACTTGTGCTACCTGTCTATTTAAATTGTAAGTTCCCTAGGGCATGAACAATATCATTCTCTGTGCATAGAACAGATGTGTTCACACCGATGCTGTGACGGGGCGCCTGCCCCACACTGGCCCTCAGAGGGTTAAAACCAGCATAGAGAGGCTGAGCATCAGGCAGCCAAAGGAGTGGCTGTAGGGGAAACAGCCAATTAGAGCCCCGCCAGCTCATATAAAAGGAAGCTGCAGAACAGAGCCACTTGGTCTGCTGCAGGGAGCCTGAGGGAGAAGACTGGATTCCTAGAGGGCTACAGCGAGACCAGCACCTGGGGAAGGGCAGGTGCTAGCTGGGAGCTAGGGAGAGCTCCTGACAGGCTGCCAGGATTTATGGGCTCGAGGCCCTGGGAAGAGGGCAAAGTAGCTGGAGCCAGAGGCAGGAGCAGAAGGCACTGAGGCTGTGGGGAAGTGGCCCAGGGACTAGAGACAGTCAGCTGGAAGGAAGAGGCAGCAGGAAGCTGCTGTTTGTGGGGTCCCTGGGCCTGCCCACCAGCCCCCACTAGACTTTGAAGGTGTGGCCTGGCTGTGGACTGCCAAGCCACTGTGAGGAGTGTCTGGACTCTTATTGGAGGAGTCTCCCAGAAAGGGGAGAAACCTGATTGTGACATGCCCGGATGGCTGTGCCACGAAGCAGATGCCGAGAGAAAGGAGCTCAAATGGGTCTGCAGGTGGAGAAGAGGGTGGGAGAGCTACCACCACCTGAGGGCGTGCCCTCTGGGACTGAGCTAATTCCCAAAATACCCAGCAGGAGGTGCTAGTGCATTGGTGAAACTCTACTCCTACTGAAGTCAATGAAAGATTTGTCATTGACTTCACTGGGAACAGAAATAGGTCAGCTCTGAGCATTACTCACAACCACACCCTTCAAGTTCAATTCACATGCATCCTGCCACAGAGGCGATGCATATACTGTGCTCTCTCATGGAGACTTTACATTTGTTCTTTCTTGCTTTGCTGTTTTCCCTTAATCTGCAATAAAATCATGTGAAATGAAATTGGACAGTTGCTCTTTGTGTATGGAAAAAAATAAAGAAAAGTAGTGATGGTGAGAACTGTACAATGACAAATAGCTCTGAGAAAGTGAGGGGCTTTCCTGGTTAAATAGAACAAACAACAAAACTAAAGTTCTCCAGTAGAGAACATGATGCATGTAGGTGGAGATGGGGGTGTCCCCTCCTGCCTCTTAATGGAGCACAGCTGCCTCCAACAAAGAGCAGATGCCTATAAACTTAATAGTGCAGTACATAAATAGCAAATCAGAATTGTTACAAAGCTATATGCCCCACAGGGCTACATAAATATTACACTTAACTTTTCCCATCAATATATCACAAGTTTGTGGGTATGAATAACTGATTCATGCCCTGTACCAAACTATAAACATTTCTATGTGAACTCTACAATGGCGTGTACAAGTACAATGGTACATTATGATACATGCACATTCAGAAAATCTATTAAGTCAATGCCAAAACATACACTGATGTGGGAAAGTTTTAATAAGGAGAGAGAAAACACAGCCAGTTATTTATTTAAGTGCCACTCAGAAGCCTTCTTTGTACAATCCATTATGGGATGGTTAACAATACACAATGTGACAGAGCAAAGACTGAATAGTCACCAGGTTTACATTGTATGGATCAGCTAAACTACAGTAAGACAGTCTGCAGTGTTCTCCTGCTGCATGGTACATAGATAGAGCCCTCGCTGCCCTCACTCCTAAAGGGCGATGTTCAGGATTGCTGGTGTTCAAGTCAGGTGACCTAACAATAGTAAAAACAATGGAAATGTTAATTGGTCAGTACACTCAAAGTAACAGCCTGAAAATCTGCTCCGTTAGCACTGCGGGGAATGGACAGCTGCTGCAATACACACATTTTTGCTGCTATGTATACTAACCTTATGTATCAACAGTATAAGACAAATACAGCAGTATGTGCTATACTAGAGGTATATTAACATATTCCCTCAGCATTTATGTATTTGAATTCTACCACTTCAGTTTAATATAGCTCTTTTCATAGCTCTCAAAGCCTTAACCTTGAGTAAGCATTATTATCCCCCATTGTATGGAGGGGGAAACTGAGGCACAGAGCAGTGAAGTGACTTGCCCAAGGTCACCCAGAGAGTTGATAGCAGAGAAGGGAAGAGAATTTATATCTTGTGTAACACTCTCCAGAGCCTGATCCTCTGCACTGTGCTCCCTCCTCTTTTTAACTACCCTGTTGTAATTACCTACATTCTGAGAGCAAATATCATGTGCAAGTAGGCAGGCAATACCTATTATGTGCAAGTGCTCACTAGCTTATTACAGCAACAAAAATGTCATGGACAACAGGGATGAAAAGCAGTCTGTAAATATTGCTTGTTAAAACAAGTGTATTATCAGGGGAATAGTGCAAGAGTGCAAACAACATATTAAAAGCAATCTCTGCTGTCCATAAATGTTTAACTTATACATTAATCACCCTTTAAAAAAAATTACATGCCTTTCCAAAAAATGTCTCCAAATATCGGAGCTAGTAGGTTTTTATTATGATAGTAATCTTCAAGGCAGTCCTATCCAAAGTCATCTGAAACAGGAGCACACATATAACAACGTCAATATAAATGTACACACATTTTAAAAAAATTATAGCACCCAGGGCAAGGGTGTTAAAGAAATGGGAGCAGGCAAAATCTACAGCTAATGCTACAATACCTATTAACTACTTCAGCCAATAACGAGGCATTCAATACATTAAGAGAATGATTGTATGGTGTTTACTGTACTGTACCTTCTATTTAGGAATCGCTTCAGGCAACGTTCGTAACAAAGGTCTTCAGAGAAGTGATGTGACCAGTTTCTTATGTTTTACTTTCAGTGATGGTCCATATTTATTAGAGGACAAAGTTGTGCATGAGGCTTCAAAGAGAATGCTGCTTCATCTGAGAAAATTAACATTTTCAAGTATCTCTCCATTGTTTTACTGAGTTACAGCCAGTGATCTGTACAGATTACACTGGGTTGTACCTTGAAGAAAATTCTGCTGACTGTGCTGTTATTTTGACGTGAAATTATCTCATGCCACGGCTAGCAAGAAGATGTCAGTCACACAGTGATGTGCTATTGCATATTGATGTCCATATGCAGAGCTGTATTGTACCTTGAATACCTGCATTTATATCCCAGGTAGTTCTCAAAAAATGAATGTAGTCACTAATTCTTCAATGCCTTTCCAAATCAGAAGTGAACTGCTTTCCTTGGGTGTTCTCTCTCTTTTTTTTTTTTAGCCACACTCCAGGTGATGCAATATGAGCTTACCTGTGCTCTCATCCAATGTCGTCCAAAGGTGTATGTCCTTACTACCCCTCCATGCTGAGTCATTCTGAGTCACCATTTCATATTGCTTTCCCTTATTGCCCTCCCTCCTTCTGAGTGAAATTGTGTGAGACAATGGGATAAAGATAAAGAGATAAAGGGCCTCTGGAGGATGGTATCGCTGATATACCAAAGAGAGCAGGGACTTGGGGGGAGAGACAACTGAAAAACAGCTGCCCTGTGATTCACCGAACAAACATATTACTTCTCTTCTACTCCTCTATGTGGGTGACTAGAACGAAGCCCGCTTTTCTTACTACATTCAGCAGACTAAAATAATTTGCACACAGCAATCCACAAAACATAAGCTTTTTTTTTTTTTAAGTTAACACAGGGTCCATCCAATCGAAATCTCAAAACAGGAGTGAATTTTTGAGTTAACTGTGACCTTGGTGGGTAGGACTTAAGTCTTGGAGGAATTACTGTTTGAAAAGATTAAAAACCCTCCTGATTACCTATTTGTGTGGCTGTACATGATACAAACACATTCTGGCATGGAGGTACCTACTGACCTGGCAACGTAAGGCGGCTTGTCGTGGAACCTGAGCCTGGTGCCTCGTTTGAATGTCGCTTTGAACCTTTAAAAAGAAAGAATTGTCTCAGAAGTGACGGGTGAGCTGCAGGCCTGCCTCTGTGCAAATGCTTTTTATACTATCACTGCCACTCGATAGTGTCAGCTTCTTTCTGTCATGTCTTCTCAACTTGTCCTTAGCAGTGTTAGTAATGTGGGTGGAGCTAACTTCCTTACAAAACCAGGCTACTTTTCTCTGTTTGAGCAGCCTTCTTTGTCCCTTTTGATTTTAGAGGAGCCAACATCGAATACCTCTTCACTTGCTTCTATTCAACTTTTTTGGCAGAACATAGGGAGAGTGATAAATGATTTTGTTGGTGGCATTTTCCTCCATATTTTGACCTGTTTTTGAATATTAATTCCATTATACATTTATTCCAAAGAAGGGAATCTAAAATATTGCAAGTGGAGATCAGCCCCCAGATCACCAGATCCAAACACCTGGCAGCTTTGTATCTGGATCTGAAGTTCACAGCTGGCGTCTATAATGGGTCAGCCAAAGCCCTGGATCACAACAGCTACCAAAACTTGTGGGCTGGTTTCCTCTCTACCTGAAGGAGTTTAGGCAAAGTGCTGAGAGGCTGACAAAAGCAATGAACTACCAGAATTTAAGAATATCAATTGACACCTATTGTGCCCTTATGAAAATCAATAAGAATGACCATGTGCTTGAGAGACATGTTGACCTTATTAAAAAAAAGAAGAGAAAAGCCCCACAACCTCTTAGTGGACAGTCATGAACTATATATCCCCCATTAAGGAGAAATGGCTGAAGTCTCTCTCCAACACTGATGATCATGAGTCTCATTTTATTAAAAAGAGAAAGGCTGACAAGTTCTTCAGAATGGGGACTAAAAGAAAGAAAAAAAAGTAGCCACATTCTCAGAGTGAGACTCTGCTCCTTACTCATGTCACAAATAGTCCTGGTGAGGGTATCAGAACCTGGCCCACCGTGAGTAAATGTAGTTGTATTCGTAGCTGGAGTTTATGGATGTGTAAGCACTATATGAACAGTGGAGTCCAGTGCTCAGAGATTGGCACCGGATTTCCAGGTGGAGTGAAAGGGGATGGTTTTAAGCTAAAAAGCTTCAAAGGGCTTGGGCCTGCCAGTCTGCGCGATTACTTCTTTCCCAGTACAGCACCTGACACAACTGATATCAATAGACGTAGTTCAGCTTGATTCCTTTCGTAGCCAGTGAACTACTCGCAGGGCTTTCTCTGTGTGGGCCCCTTGACTTTGGAATTCACACTCCATTGGTCTGAAATAGCCCAATTTTGATGACTTTCAGGCTATATTTCAAAATTTTCTCTTTAAGCAGGCATTTGAGAGTAGTTGATCATTATGTGGGGTGTGACATTTTCGTGGGTTCTGGAGGATTCGGCTGTGCTGTTTCTGGTTGAGGCTTCTTTATGGACTGTAATTTAAATAATCTGTCAAGGCAGATTAAACCCTTGGAATAGGTGTTTTATGTGTTCAAACTTAAATAAACAAACAGTGCATATGTAATGCTATGATGTGCTCAAATATTGTAACAAGGGGATCTCTCAAAAGTTTCCCCTTAATCGTCAATAAATCTCATGAACAAGGGATTTATCTGTTTGCAGAGAGGAGAGTGAATTACTGTGAAATCTATTAATTTACTTTCCCATTTAAACATAAAACGCGTGTAACTAGGGTTGCCAACTTTCTAATCGCACAAAACCAAACACACTTGCCCCACCTGCTGCCCTGCCCACCCCTTCTCCAAGGCCCCACCCCCCACTCACTCCATCCCCCCTCCCTCCATCGCTCACTCTCCCCCACCCTCACCGGGCTCCGCAAGGGGTGGGGATGCGGGATGTGGTGAGGGCTCCGGCTGGGGGTGCATGCTCTGGGGTGGGGCCAGAAATGTGGGGTTCAGGAGACGGTGAGGGCTCTGCCTGGAGGTGTGGGCTCTGGGGTGGGAGCTGGGGATGAGGGGTTTGGGGTGCAGGAGGGGACTCAGGGCTGGGGCAGGGGGTTGGGGGTGCAAGATACGGGCTCCAGGAGGGATTTAGGGTGCAAGAGGGGGTTCCGACCTGGGGCCAGGGATTGGGGCATTGGAGGGCATCCAGGGTGTGGGCTCCAGATAGGCCGCACTTACCTCAGGTGGCTCCTGGAAGCAGCCAGCATGTCTAGCTCGGGTGGCCAGGGAGCTCTGCGCGTTGCCCGTGCCCAGAGATGCCACCCCTGCAGCTCCCATGGTTCCCAGCCAATGGGAGCTGCAGAGCCAGCACTTAGGGTGGGGACAGCGTGCAGACTCCCCATGGCTGCCCCTGTGCCTAGGAGCCAGACATGCCAGCCGCCTCCAGGTGCTGCATGGAGCCAGAGCAGGCAGGGAGCCTGCCTTAGCTCCGCTGCGCTGCTGCCTGGACTTTTAGCGACCCAGTCAGCAGTGCTACCAGAGCTGCAAGGGTCCCTCTTCGACCGAGTGTTCCGGTCAAAAACCAGACATCCGGCAACCCTACGTATAATCAAGGATGAAGACGGCATTCGGATGTCACTCAGTAAACAGAATTGTTATTTGAAACAAAAGGTTTTGTTATTGGAAGGCAGACATGAGTAGAGACAAACTGGCAGGTAGATGTGTGGGAAACCTGGGATCTAAATCTGGATTTCCCATGAGTCTGCTTTTTGGTTTAAGCCCCATCATAAAATTTGACTCTGGAATAGGATCCAAATGTGTCAAAAAAATTTGTGGGGGGGGACATCTGTATAATCCAGAGTTCAGGGCCATCTCTAACATAGTGTATATAAAATAGATAAACTCACACTATATAGATGCACATACAAATATATAGTTCTGACCTTGACACAAAATATTGTTTAAAGAGAAAGACCCACACACACTTCTGAAAGACAGTGTTGCCTGGTGGAATGGGATAGGTTAGCTGTCAAGAACTCCTAAATTCTAATCCCAAATCTGACACCAACTCACATATGTGGCCTTGGGCAAGTTACCTCTACATTCTGTCTCAGTTTCCCTAGCTGTAAAATGGGTACTACCTACCCATCTTTCTCATAGGGATTCTGATGAGTAAGTAGTTAATGTCCATACAGTGCTTTCAACATGAAAAGTAGTACACCAATGTTGATTTTTGTTATTCTGCAAAGAGAGTGCAGAGCTCCATGTTTGTGGCAGATATAAAAAGTGACTGAACAAACCACCCCTTCCCCCATTCAAATTCAAATGGAGTGGAGACCTCATTGACTTTATTTGGTAATAGGATGGACATACATGTACTCATTACAGAAAAACTGGAATGCTGGAAAAGTGTTTTATACATTTAGAGACTACAAGCCTCTTCTTTCAAATAAGGAACTTAACAAAAAATGCAAAACTGAAAGGAATTGTGCCCATGTAATGGCAAGTGTTCTCAACTCTGCTGAGAAGAATTTAAAACAATATTTTATTTATTGTAAAGTCTGAACAAAGCAAAGAGGTTTTTCTCCAACAAACTTGTGTTTAACTGTTGCTTTAAAATGGATTTTGATTAGTTTTCTAATTGCCTGATGCAAAACACATATAGCAACCTGCCTCCTGCCTGCTTGAAAAAGGCTCTGGATTACAGGTGTATACTACTTATATTACTTCAGTTCAACAAGACATCTCCATTATAATTTCTGCTAATATAAAGATAGTCTAAAGTGTATGTTCAGCTTTATATATATAGGACTCCCTGCACAACGTCAGCTGAGAAAAGATTATTTTACAATCTTGAATCCTTGCATTTTGGTTAATTTCCCCCTTTCCCCCCCCTTCAAAACAAGTTGAACGTTCTCTAGATTCATCAGGACCCATTGCTACAAATGTAATTTGAGAGCAGTGAAACTAGTCTTACAGGTAAACTGGTAATTTACAGACTTCCTTCCTGCCGAAGGTAGTCAGTGTACTACTTTGTGCCTCTGCTGTAACTTTCTACTGATCTAAGCTGCTTCACAAGTAGCATCATAGGAACAAAGACTGATTTTTTCCCTTATTATTTAAATCCATTGTGGAGGGAGCAATGCCCTCCCCACTGAAGGAGGACACCACTACCATTATATAGGGGGGCTTCAGATTGAATCACCCGGCATTTAGCATCTTGTATACATGTTCTCATTTACGCTTTGATGCCAGTTCCCAATGGGGATGCTAGTGGAACTGAACGGAGCTTGTGCGCAACTTCCATCAGTTTCAGTGCAACTGATGACATGTTTGGGCCCAAGGTGTTGTTTTATTTTATTTTTTGCTCTAAGCTGATGTTGCAAATGCAATGGCTTTTGTCAACGGGGAGGGAAAGGGAAGAGAAATCTTAATGGGAGAATCTGGGCCTACAGACGACCAGAAGTTCTGGTAAAACCCAATCAGAACCCTACAAATAAAAATAGCAAATATTTAAAAAAATTGTATATAAAATTGTATAAAAATATCATCCAAGCCAGAAGAAAAGGAAAATGCTCACTCTGCCACTAGGATTTATCACTACACAACACCTATGGCCATAATTGATTGTTTTATATACGCATTCCTACAATCATCCAGCAAAGAGGATGAGATTACATATACACATCCTCCTATCACAGGATGGCTTCTAGAACCGGGCAAAGATGAGTACACAACAGGTCTTATACACGCACGCTAATGAAATAAAAGGAATACAAAGTGCCAACAGTGTATTGTGGAGCCTGTACGTGTGTACGGTCATGGTTTTGTGTACTTGTGTGTGAGACAGAGGATGAAGAGAGAGTCACAGTTCTGCTTTGTTGCCAGTGAGAAATCTCACACTATATTTGCTCAGAAAAAGAAGAAAACAACATGCAGGGAAGGAAGAGTAAAAAATCTGAGAAACTTGAAACAAAGTGCCTGCTTTTCTGTTTTAATGGCAAATAATGTGATCAATGGTGGTCAAACGATTTGCTTTTAGCTTGGACCACAGAGATCAGAGATGGAAAAGACCTATCTGATCACCAAACCCATCTCCCTGCAAGAACAGGATACTCATCCC